CTTCCACCATGTGAGGACACATGAAGCAGCAAGAAGGCACCATCTATAAGGGACAAGCCCTCATTAGACACCAGATCTGCTGGAGCATTGATCTTGTACTTTTCAGACTCCAGACATATGACAAATAAATTGTTTATAAGACACTGAGTCTAAGGTGTTTTGTTATAGCAGCTCAAACAGACTGTGACAGAGGTAGATCTCTGTATTCTGATATGGAATAAGGTGCAGAATAGTGTATATAAAATGAGCCAATATGACTAAATAAAAAACAAAGCATAAACATATGTGCTAGTTGTACTTATATATGTGTAATTAGTATAAATGTAAAATCATTTTCTGATAGCCCATATTGGAGAGTGATGAGAAGGAAGTCTTGTTTTTTATCTCTTTTGATATGCTTTTATTTTCTTTTTAATAACATACCTTTATTGGTTTTGTCTTAAAATAATTAAAATCCAAATAAAAATGTAGAAGAAAAATTCAGAAGGGAGGAAGGAATGTAGCTTGGAGCAAAGTGTCAAATGGATAAGGTAATGCAATTTATAAAGTTTTTAGGTTTTTTAGCCTCCCTGTAGTCTATGACTATGTTTAATATTGTTATATATCAATTAAGACATAAACCTCTTTTCCTCTGTTGAAGATGAAATACATTACTTACATTATCAAAAATTTAAAGTAGCACCAATGATAAGCATCTGATTATAAATTATTAATCAGCCACCTCTGATTATTCATAAATGGATTATACTTTGTAAATTTTCCTTAGTGGTCCAAGTGGTTTTGTCCCTTTCACTGTGTAAGCTGGTCATAGGCTATGAATAGTGGAGTTGTGTGAGGAGAAGATTGGGCTCAGGCACGATGGGAGTGAATGTATAGTTCTGACTATGTTCTAAAGACAAATAGTTCTATCTGGGATAGACTTGTATGCTATGGTGGTAGTTGTGATTATTCACAATAACAGGGCCAAGAACTTCAGATTCTTCAGCTTGGTTGGGTCCCACCTCTATTTCTGGGTACAAGCATCCCCAACCCCGCCTCAACTGGGTGGCAGTAAACCATTGCATTTCTGTCCCTTACCTCATACAAAATTGTTAATCATATTGGTATATTATTACAAAGCCTTAATTAAAGATAATATGATCTTTTGCAGAGTTTGAAATTGTAATAGAACTGTTGTTTATCAGCTTTTTTTGTTATTCTAATCCTGTTTGCTTACTAATTAATAAGATGGTTGGGAGAGGGTGCCATGCCAGTGGTGCTCTCTTCTGCTCTCCAGTTGTTGAATGTTAGCTGAGGGAACTAGAGTTAAGTACTGATTAAACATACCTATCCTTTGTAGCATTTGATTTGTTAGATATTCATTTGTGTGTCTGAATTTATTTGTGCTTTGTTGTTTTGGTGATTTGAGGGTTTTTAGGTTTCACATTGTGTATTATTTTTGCCTTAAAGTAAATCTGTAAATTTATTTTCCTAGTTCAGTGATACATTTTAAGTTAATTTTATACTCCATTACCTAATGCAGTGTTTCTCAGACTTTTTTTCATTATTCCCTCTTAGGAAGCATTTTTAGCCTTGTTTTTTTCCTAGTGGGCTTTCTCCCCTCAAGATATTTTAATACCACAGATATTCCGTGTATCTATGTATGTTTTCAAGTAGAGTTAAACGTTGGAGAGCTACAACCATTGTAATATCTAAGATTCTTTCTTTCCCATAGGAACCACTTTTCGTCTCCTTAGGAATGATATTGCCCAAATTGAGAATGTATGATTAAAGTGGTTATCAGCCTCGAGTGATTTTGTATTCCCCCCATTCCCACCCCCTGGAGACATTTGGTAATTTTTGGATACATTTTTGGTTGTTACAACTAGAAGTGATGCTACTGGCATCGAGTGGGTAGATGCCAGGGGGGATGCTGGTAAACATCCTATAATGCACAGGACAGAGGACAGCTTCCCCCTCTGCCCCAAACAAAGACTCATCCAGTCCCAAATGTCAGTAGTGCTGAG